AAAAATATATTTTATTAAGGCAATTTTTATTAAGTAAAGAAATACCGTAAACAACGGAAACAATGAAAATGGCGGCAAACAAGGATTGCATCATTGTAATGGAAAGAATTTCTTCGCATTGTTTGAATAAAATTCTTTTATTCTAATTATAATTAAAATAGCCAACCTGATATAACAGGATATTTGGAAGAAGAATTTTTTTCATTGGACAAGACAATTTTTAATTCCTGTAACCTATCAGCGCTTTTGTTCCACCAAATCCAGTGATCGATTTTATTTAAGTATTTAAACCTTTATTCTCGGCAACTTTTGAAGGAAAAAAAAAAAAATTTTTTTAATCATACTTCAGTTCATCTTTTTAAACTGTCAGTATTGTCTGCTATCTATCATTATATATATTTTTTTATATTTGTTTATATATTTAAAAGAGCTTAACCGAATAAAATGGCAAACCTAGATAAAGGTCCTTCACACACATTATACAAAGAATTTAACCCCACAGCTTATTTCTCTTATCAACCAGGTCGAAAATCTTTTCAGCAGGGATATCTTGGCATTACGAACAATGTATCAATCGTTGGTTCTTTACACATCAGGAACCCTGCGAATCAACCATTGTATGCAAAACGAATACAAATTTGTTTCTTAGGAACCGAATATATTCAATTACAAGAAACGGGACCAAAGGTTTTGACTTATAGTACAAATTCAATCTGTAAGATCATTATTGAATTATGGACAAGTCCAAATGATGATTATTACGAAATTCATGATATGGATTTGCCTTTCGAAATCCCACTTCCTCTCGACCTTCCTTCAAGTTTAACCTTAAATAAAGAACGAGGGAAAATTCAATATTCACTTCGAGCCATCATATCAAAGAAACCAAGTATCAAACATTTTCGAGGCTCAACGAAGATCATACAATGCGCTTACACCGTCGATCGTTACACTTTACCCCCTTTGCCTTTACCGGTACCTAAACAATGGACAAAAGAAAGTCCAATGAAACGAGGAATTGGATATGAAATTCTTTTAAATAACACCGTTTTTGGACCTCGTTATCCAATTGTAGTAAGGTTAAAATTAACGTTTTATGATACTCTGGTTTCTTTGGAAGACATTGTCGTAGGATTAAAAGAGTATACTTTTATTGGTGCTCCATCTGATTCGAAAAATAAGAGTAAATATATAGGAAGAAAATTTGTGAAAGGGAAACAAATACCAATGACATCAGAATCACAATATAGTCAATTTATAACGGATGTAAAATTTTCTATACCGGAAGATTGTATTGGGAAACTTTCTTGGTCGACTGAAGGTTTAAACATCAAAGTTACTCATAAGGTTAAAATCAAGGTAAAATTTGGTTTATTTAGCAAATATAATATCAATCTAGAAGCACCGGTAAAAATTTTAAATATGTTAAGCGTTGAAGAAGAAGCTTATTTAGCTGCCGAAATTTTACATCAACAAGAAATTTCAAGGTATTCAGAACCGGAAACTCAATCCAATACTAATATCCCTCCTCCTACCTATGAACCAGATTGGTTTGCAAACCAAACTTCTCTTCCTGATTATTCATCTATATAAATTTCAATCTTTTTTTTCTTGAGTGTGGCAAAATATACATTTATTTATGTTAACGATTAAAATATAGAGGGGGGTTTTTTTTTTGATTATCTAAATGAAATGAATTAGAATTAATTATATTATCTATTTTAATTTCGGGAATAACTTTTTTTAGTAATTTAGTTGTTTTTGATTTTTTTTTTGTGAAATAAAATGCCCTTTTTTTTTGTTTATCGACTTTTGGATTTTTAAATTTGATTGGTTGTAATGTTTCGGGCGAAACCCAAATTTGAGTTTGGGCAGTTTAGGACAAATGGGCGTAACTTAAAGGCGAAATGTAGAGGTTTTTCAACAGTAATTTATTTGTTAAGTTTAGCCACACTTATTTATATAAAAATAAATCAAATTTATTTAGTAATATTGAAAGCTTAGCCCTAATATTTTTATTAAAATGGGCAATTAATATGATTAAATGTCTCATTTTCTGATTTAACTAACCATAATTCTTTTTATTTTTTTTAAAAAAAAAAAAAAACAAAAGGTTATATTCTAGTGAGAATCATTACCAAAAGAAATGTTCTATAATTACACGATCACATATGGTGGTAATAAGTGGGGTAAATTTGAAAATAGCAGAATTTAATTACCAAAGCAATGTTTTATAATACACGACCACATATGGTAATAAGCGGGGTAAATTTAAAAATTGCAGAATTTAATTACCATAGAAATGTTCTACAATTACACGACCACATATGGTAACAATACTATTTCTGTGGGGTAAACTTGAAAATAGCAGAGGTTTATCATGATTGGATATTTTGGCACGAAATGGCAAATCCACATTCTCCAGTAAAGTAATCTATAAATTCTTTCCTTGAAAGATCTGTTTATAATTGGTAATCTGAATCTAAAATTCTGGAATTTTGATTATCAAAATCAGCCTTTGATACTGCAAAGCTACAGAATAAATAGTTTAGATATCAGAAAGTCTGTCATTTGATGACTTTTCGGCTAGTTGCTGCAGCGGAATCTTTAGTTTAATTGCTCCTGACGGCTTTTAGTCAAAAAAATTCTTGGCATCTGACAGAATTATTCATACTCAAAAACTTGCATGTCTGCTCCAAAATTTTAAGAAGGATACCGATAATCTTGGGGTACCGTTCATGGATGCTTATAAACGAACGAACTTTTGGATGATGTTTTGTTAAAAGCTTTGCGTCTCAATAACTTTTTACAATTTTAATAATTACTGATTAGATTTGAAACCAGGATATTTTGAAACTTTTAAAGCAATACCTTTCTAACTTCAAACGAATACCCTGGGTAAAACAATCCTGCATATGTCACACGCAGATCCTTTTTATATTAAAAAAATTTCGCGTAACTATAATCGAGTTACATAAAAATGTTTAAGAGAAACAAATAAAATATTTTTATAAAACACAAAAATTTTAAAATCATTAGTAATATTATATAATTATATTATACGCAAAGTCAAAAAAGTGGTAAAAGTATATAAAATTATATTAATCAATTGATTGATATCTATATAAATGTTATTTACCTTGATTAATATATGACATATCTAATACTTGATATTAAAATAAAATAATAATTATCTAAATTATAGAAAAAAATTAGATATGTTAAATTAAACTATTAATTAATTAAAGGTAGAATTTAAATCTACTAATTAAAACAAAGAAATAATACATACTTATTATTCTATAAATAGTGAAATATAACTAGATTATTTACAAATTACAGTCAACTCTTGATATAGCGAACTTTTGATATAATGAATTTTTTGAATAAATATAATAAAAATACTCTTGTTATAGTGAATTAGCCAATCAAATCTCTTAAAATCTTTACTATAACCTTATAACAAAGTTGAGATCTAGGATATAGAGTTCATTATAACAAAAGTTATCTATATATATTTTATTCAGTATTACTATAAAATAATTTCATTTATGTGATAATATAAATATTTTGTTATCTTATATTTTTCATTTTTAAAAAACTTAAAACTTTTTAAGATGCAAAATTAAATTTATCATCTTTTATTTATCATATAGTTAATTTATTAATGCTATAATACTAGCCAAAAATTATGTAGTTAATACTAGAGTAAATCAGATTGTATATAAAATTCATATATACATAAGCATATGTAATTTTCATATTAACTCTAAATAACATAATAAATTATGAAATAACAGACTTATTTCATGTATAATTTAATTATATAATAGATTATACTAATTATATTACTTATATAATGTATTTTTTAAAAAAAATATGTTTAAATCAAATTTTATAATCAAAACTCACTTTTTTTTACTCTAAGTAAACTTGTAAAATAGATAAAAATATATCTTTATACATAATTTTTAATGTTTAATAATAAGTTTATTAGGCTTTAACTTTTAGAAAAATAATTATGATGTATATATTGATTATTTGCTAATTATTTTTAAAATATATTTTAAACTATAATATAATCTGTTATACTTATCTTATTATATATGATGTATATATTGATAGAATTTTTATTAATTGAATATTTTCTCACACATCTTTTTTTTATTTTTACTTCTTTTTTCCTATTAACAAAATTAAAATTTTTCTATTATAATAGATTTTATTATTATAAATAAAAAAATATTATAACTTTAACAACTTTTAAGAATAAAAAAATTATTATAATTTCAACAAATTTTAAGAGTAAAAAATATAAATAAATGTATTTTAAAGTAACTTTATATAATTAATAAATTTAATAAAAAGACTAATTTAACAAAAATATTAATAAATATGATACTTACAAAAAAACTTAAAGAATTTTATAATATAAGTTTTATTATATTGCTTAAGAAATTAAATGATTAAAACTACTAAACAAAACTATATATAGTAATTAAATTATTAAATAATAAAATAAAATCTTTAAATTCAAGAATTTGAAAAAATTGTATAACTTAATTCATTAACTAAGCAAAAAATCAAATAAAATATTTAGATTATTTATTAATAAATAATGATAATAATAATCTTAAATTAGAAAAGTATTTTTTTAAAATTTCTTATTATGTAATTTATATAGAATAATATTTATAAAATTAAAAATTAACAAATCACATAAAAAAAATGATATAGTGTAGAACTTCTATATTAGAAATTTTACTATAGTAAAAATAGAATAAATTTAAAATGCAAAAAAAATTTTATTATATATAAAATTAAAAATTTAATCCATAAAATAAATAACCTATACTTTAAGAATCTTGGATTAGAATTTTAATATTTTCAATATTGATAAAGTTATACCAGGTTAAATTTATCTAAAATTAATTATAAAAACTGAAATTGAAAAAAATATGTAATAACGAATTTAAAAGAATGATTCTTTTATTATTTATATATTTTAATTTAAATATTATTGTAAATTAAATTATATCAAGATCTATTAAAGTATAGCAAAAGAAATATACAAGAATATTGCAATTACATATAGGTTAAATTATAATAAATTATTTCTAAAATATTAGATTCAGTTTCTTTAATTACAATTCAAAAATATGCATAAAAATTATAATGATTTATGAAAAAAGTATTACTAAAAAAATAGCAATGTTTACAGCTAAAAAATATAAGTTTTATTGTTATGTATCTGATGAAATTTATAATGAAATAATGAAATAAAATAAAATAAATTATTTATATATGATTTTTAATTCTAGTTTCTAATTGATTCATATATACAGTCATCCCTCTTTATAGTCACCTCCTATATAGTCACTCCTCTCTTTTAGTCATACTGAGGCTCAAGCAACAACTTGTTCTTATTAATGCTGTTTTTAGGAAGGGTCCAATTATATTTAAGCACTTTTTTAAA